ATGCATCATGCATGATTAAGACTTGGGGTTCAATCTTAAAATTTCAACCTTATTACGATGAGTAGCCAAAACCTTACCGATCTGGAATTTTTACCCATAGAATGCATAGTGAACCATATACTTCAAACTATTCACAGAGAAATTAGAACCCACAACACGAAGAATTATCAGATTAGATCATAATGCATATACCATTCTCAACTCCCATGAAAATTAAATTAAAGCTCCCAGAAATCTTAAATTCTGTATGAAGTATTAAATAGACGATACACTGAACTCTTTTGACTTACTAGCGAATACTATCCAATCCCGTACCAAATATGCTAAAACAGAAACCAGTTTGCAGTAATTTCTCATCGTTTCCTTCTAAGAAACTCCAAGTACAATGAACATAAATAAAAGTAGCACCAACCTGTGAACATTTTCCAAACAGTTAACTTCTTTGGATCAGCAGAAAATCAGAAACCCTTGTGGCTATATCTGTATGGATTAAAAAAGAGGAAAATGGATAAAGATAATCACAGGAATGAGCAAGTATGTTCGGGCAAAAGGGCATGGGATGGGAGTTTATCTAACTTGTTTGTCCCGCTGTCTTTTAGAAGTCACTTTTTGGTCTGACATGGCATAAAGTGGTAATTTGTAGTGGGGCTAAAAAGCGTTATCTTCCTGCACGTGAAAATGCAATCTCTGATCCAATAGTTGCCGAGTGAACCAATGCTCAAATGCCACGTATGGAGAAAGATTAGAGTCCACAGCACTCGAGTATGTGGAACGAGATAATGGAAGCAAATGCTACGATACTCTCATTGCAAAATTGACTATGCCGGAAATGTATCTCTCGGTCACATTCTCCTCGAAGGCATGGGCGGATTTTTAATCTAAATTAAAGTTAACAATTAATTTTAATAACATATTTTATGGAATCCATAATTGTTTAACTTTTATCAAAATTTACTAAAAATTGATTTTAATCTCCACCAAACAGTGGCAAAATCACGATAAATTTGAATTTCAATCATGCTAATTTTAAAAATTCTCCGACAATCGTATGGTGGAGCTAAATATCATTACTCATTGGTGTTTGGAAAATAAATAAACGATTTAAATTATAAATATAAATGAGTGATTAAAAGTAGGTATCACTTGTTATTTGTATATGAAAACTCGCATATAAGATGGACAACAAATGATTTGTCATTTTCGCGTGGACATTAATGACATATTTGATATTAGAAAAAGAAGTTAAAAATATAATTCATCAAATCATTTACGCATAGACATTAATGACATTTAATTAAAATTATTCGATAATACATATCAAACACAGTGTAAGTGTAGACCTCATCAAATGTATCGTACATGCTTATGGCTATTGTAGTTTAATAAGTTAACGCTCTACATCAAATATAAGGTAATCAAATTGTGATTGAATTTGACATTGTGTTTGAATCTAATTTTGAGGAGAATAGAAATTTTGGAATAGTGATTGATGTGAGAATGTGAGGTGGAAAAGTGATGAAAAGTTTTTGATTTGTGTGTAATATTATTTTATATGAAGAATGTGTGGT